TATTTATTTTGTTGCTCAAATTGGTTTTTTTTAATTAATTAACTTTTTTTGAGATGGGCTTTCACTTTGTTGTCCAGGCTGGCCTTGAACTTATGGCGATCCTCCTGCCTCAACCTCCCAAGTGCTGGGATTCTAGGCATAACCATTACGCCAGGCTACTGGTGATTTACGTATGTATTTTGGAGCACCTCCTTATTTTTGGCACAAAGTGGTCTGGGCTTGGCTTATGTTTTCCCTGCCCCAACCTGAGATTACCCACCCTTCCCAGAAGCCCCTGTTCCAGGGTTGGAAATGGTCCTGCGTGTTAAATGAAGACAGACCAATGGTTAGGTGAAGGGGCAGCTCAGGGCCCCCTGTTTCGTGTTTGTCACCCCCTCCCCGTTTGGTACAGGAGGGGCTCATGTTTGCAGAGGTGTCTGTATTGTGATTTGTAAGTCAGCAAGAGAGGACTAATGGGGATGTTGGTCACACCCCTTTACTTTTTCCAGAGAAGATAAAACTAAAGTAAATTGAGCTGACTTGGATACCTGCCAGGAGGCCCACCAGACCTTTCACTGTAGATGAGGCTCCTAATATTGACAGTGGCCAGGATCTTTGCAAAAAAGTTAGGACAAAAAGGTTCAACTTTGGAGACAGAGCTCAGCAGAGGACTCAGGTTTAGTTCCCAGCACACACATGGCAGCTAACAACTGCCCGTAACTCCAGTTCAGGGGATTCAACACCCACTTCCAGCCTCTCTGGGTATTGAACACATGAGTGCACTTGAATACATGCAGACAAAACACTCATACACACACAAAAACCCAAATAAATAAAAATTTATAAAAGGTTTTTTTTCTATCAGCTTCTATAATGAGAGGCATTGATCTCATCCTCTGTGATGGCCACCTATGCTGGATAAGGGTAGAGTTAATGCAGGAGAGGTCAGAGACCGAGACGTTTATATGGACTACCTGGCACAGTGCTCGCCAGATGAACGAGGGCCTCACACCAATGTGGCTTCCTCAGAAGAGTCCAAGGCCTTGGCAGCAGCTGAGGAACTCTCCTATGTACTCCTGAAGAGCAGGACTCCCAGGGATCTGTGTTTATGGAGCTTGAGCATCCTTCTGTTGAAGGCTGAGGCTAACAGCATGACAGAACTTTTTGTCTTCAACAGTGATTTTTTTTTTTTTGGTCTTTTTTGAGACAGGGACTCCCTGTACCCCCAGCTGTCCTGAACCTCACTATGTAGATCAGGCTGGCCTTGAACCCACAGAGATCCGCCTGCCTCTGCCTCCTGCGTCCTCAACAGTGATTTTTATAAATTATTGATTGTAGCAGTTAGTGTTAGTATTAAAACTGTTTCGAATCTGAGAAGCAATGAAGTCTGGTTGGAGGAAATGGGTTTTGAAACCATAGGAACATCAGACTTTGCCCAAGGCTTAGGGAGTCTCACTATGGAGAATGCCTGCCCATAAAGCCAGAGCAAAGGCAGAAAAATCCATTCTGAAAGCAGAGGGCTTCAATGAATCTATTAGCATTGCTATAATTTTAGTTAAATTAAGCTCAACACGAGAATAATTCACACAGAGGGCAGAGAATAAAATCTGAAAACTTCCCAGAAGGAAACCACATTTGGGGGAGAAGTTTCAGCAAGGGCCTGAAGGCATGAGGTATAAGGAATACATGTTCAGTTTCCATGGGGACTCAAGTGTCCACTTAGTAAACGGAAGAGTGCTGCTTCAAAAATATTCAGTGGCTAGAAAATAAGATACTAAAATTCATGGATGTCAAGCCTTTGGTCAATGCATGTGCTGTCTGTGATGCCTTCCTCCAGCTTGCCCCTAGGGAACATCTTTTTCCTGCTGTGGAAAAGAGGGAGAATCTGAATCTTCCTTAGAATCCCCAGACATAAAGGGGGAAAGATGGCATCCAGATGGTGAGTGCATAGCCAGATTTGTCCCTCCAATATCACTGTTGGCTAGACTGACCTATGGCTGCCCTTTTCCCTCCCACTTCCTTAGCCTGGTCCACACCACCTCCCAAGCTTCATGCACCACCCCCAGATTTAGACATAGAGATACACACATGATGCTTGCACACAGATATATACATACTAATATACACAGGCACATGTCTACATATATAAAGAGAGGTGCACACGCAAATATATACACACAGATACACAGAGATGAACGTGCATAGATGCATGTACACAGGTGGATGGGGGCACACAACAGATACATACATACAGATACACAGAGATGCACACAGAGATACACAGAGATGAGCACAGAGATACACAGAGATGCATACACAGAGATACATACATACAGATACATAGACATGCACACATACAGGAAAATGAACACAGAGAGATACTCATACAGAAAGACAGTGAGGTACACACATGCAAAAATATACATATATATAGATTTACATAAAGATTCACACAGAATCACATCTACAGAGATGCACACATGTACACATATGTAACACACACTCACATAGCATGCTATATGATCTTAAAGGAAGTTGGAGAACACAATCCCTAGAAGTGGGGCCTGTCAGACAGCAATGGGGGCTTGAGAACGTCAGTCCAGGCTGCTGTTGTAGGGCCCAGGTGATGTGGCTGTGACTCAGGTTCTCCTAGCTTGTTTCCTCATCTGAAGGCTAGTAGGATGCACTGTGCTCCCCAGCTTGCTGTGAGCATCAGTGATAATACACATACCACATCTGATCATATCAGCCTCTGTCAGCTTCCACAGTGGGGTGACAAAGACGGGTTATTCTGGTGCTCTCAACATGAAATCTAGTGGCTTCAGGGACTCATGGTTCTTTCACCTCAGTTCACTGCACTCTCTTCTCATTTGCCTCAATGAGTCCAGACAGTTCATGGGGAGAGTCCAAGGAAGGACCAGAGAGCTAAATTCCGAGACTTCTGCAGGGGAGACGGGAGTGAAGGCTCTTCAGTGCACCAGAGGAATGTCTTCCCACATTGACATCAGCAGAGATGTGTTCTCAAGTATTAATGAATGCTCACCAAGTTCTAGGCCACATATGTATAATGGCCTCTGTGTCACATTATGTGGTGTGTGTGTGTGTGTGTGTGTGTGTGTGTGTGTGTGTTTTAAAGGCCATCAAGTGACCAATGCTGTGGGCAAAATACCAGAGATGTTCTGGAGAAAGAGCTGCTACTTTGCATAGAACAGGGCTGGGGAGGCTTATGTGATAAGATGCTGTGTTAGTGTATGAGAACAACACACAGGCTACCTAAGGGGTAGCTACCCTCAGGTGGTGTGAGGAGCATGGGGAAGGCAGATACAGCTGAGGTGTCACTGGTGGGGAGTGGCTTACCCAACAGCATCTCCATGAGGCTCACAGCCCCTGCTCTGTCCCTTTTTACTGCAGTTGTCTCTTAACTGCAGGACCCTGGTAGCATTCTGGGGTTTGGCCATATAGACAAGTCATTTCAGGGAAGACAGATACCTCAGATAAGGCTTGTTCATCAAGAAGCCACAACATACAGTTGCTGAGCCCTGCCGACTATTAAAATCAGTCCAAGTGGCTGTGGCCTTGAAAGGACATGGAGCATGCTGTGTATTGGTAAAGGCTGTGCCTATTTCTAGAGTTTAGATATGATGTACCTCCATACCCCAAAGCTCCTAGCTTGGTGCACCTGGGAGGTAGGGTCAGTGGGAGGTCTTCAGGGCACTGATGGTATGCTTTTGAAAGAATTGTAGGGCCCTGATCTCTTCCTTTCTCTTCTTTTTGCTTCTCTGCAGGTTAGCAGCTGTCCTCTAACACATGCTCCCAACATGGTGGGCTGCATCCCTGACAGAGGAAAAAACCCCATTCTTCTATATGATTGTGGACTGGAACCTTTAAAACTGTGAGCCAAACACAGCTTTTCTCTTCATAAGTTACCTCAGGCACTTGCTATCATAACAGAATCTGACTAATATACCTGCCTCATTTCACCTAAATCTGCATTGTTCTCCTAGGAGGCGAGCCCTGTCATCCTTTCTTGGGGAGCTGCCTCCAGCTCTGAATAACACTTGTGCAGGCTTGGGGAAGCTGGCAGAGTGCCTGCTGATGCTTCTGGTAGACATTTCTGTGTAGACACTTTGTCTCCACAGCTAAGTGGTTATGGTACAAAGCTAGATTTCAGGTCAGTCTCCAGCAGCCCACCTCCTCCCAGCAGTGACCTCCAGCGGAGCCATCAACAGGCTGAAGTCTGTGTTCCTGGGCTGAGACCCTGCCCCTTACCAGGAGAGAGTTCTTGGGCACACTGTCCCATCACTAGGAGTCTTGCTTTTCCTGTACAGCATGTGAGGGAAGGCGAGGAGGGATGAGACACACTCCAGGTCACAGCCGAGCAGGATACTGGTGGGTGTTCACACATCCATCACATACTGGGTAGCACAGCCAGTGCTGCTCATGCCTCTTCTTATGAGTTTGCATTTTGTTTATGTGCGAGTACATGCCCGTTTGTCCTGTTTCTTCTACATTACAGGTCATAAAAAGTAGGAACCAGGTCTTCTATTTCTTTTAATTCTTACCCAACCTTGAGCAAGATTTGTAGCCCATCATTTTGTGCAAATGCAGTGGCCTCAGTCATCTAAGGAAGCCTGGGACTGTTTGCTTTCTCTAGGCCAGGAGGGTAAACAGGAAAGATGGCCACCCAAACTAATTGCCAAGCCCACAGCCTTAGAGCCACATCTGAGACTATTCTGATGAGAACCCAGGGAGGCTGTGGGACCCCCAGACCCTCACAGGGCACAAAGACATTTGGTGACTGGGCCTGTATCTCCAGAAGCCCCTGCTTTGTTTTAGTAGAGGAAGGAGGCCGTTTCTCAGAGAGCAGTGCCTTTGTCACTGTCTGGATTCTGCTTATTCTGTAAACATGAGGAGATCAGCATTCTACTGTTCTTAGTTTTGCAATCTTCACAAATTAAATATTTGCCTTCAAACGCAACAACTGTGATAACATCAGGGTAATATTCTAAAGCACCGTTTCCTCACATGTTTCCTCACATGCCAGCCAGCGAAGAAGTCAAGGCAGCATGCTGTGGGTGGTCTGTTTGGATAATGGTTTTCATGTGGAAACCTCAAATTGGAAATCAACTGGCAGGCATTCTGGAGAAAGTGTGGTTTCCTGGTCCTTAGAGCTGACTTGAACCGAGAGTCTCAAGTGAGTGAAGTCTCTTTGCCCTGTTTCCTGTCTATAAAATGGGGAGTAATCGCTTAGTGACTCCTGAAGGGGACCAGGGCATTTGGGGGGGTCACAGTGGCCACAGGAGGAGGTCTGGCCCCTCCAGGGATTACTGGGGTAGACTAGACATTTGTTCTGTAAGCATGTACTTCCAGGAAGGGTCTCTCCAAAGCTCTATAAGAATGAGCTAACACTCAAAAGAACTTTCACTGAATGTAAATGAAATATATTTTGGGAATTTTATTACCTATGATGAAATCTACCAGCAGAAAACCACCCTGGAAAGCCAGCAAGGCACAGCGAAGCCCAAAGGCTGAGCTCTCAGTGTCTTGTCCCTCAGACATGTTTCTGTCAAGTGGGGCTGTCTGCTAAGGAGGATGTGTGAATGACAAGCCCCACTGTGCACTCTGACTTCCCTTCACAATGGGCAGGAGGCTTTAGAAACAGCACTTCAGCCCTTTTAAAGGACAAACATTTTTTTTTTTTTGTTTTTGGTCTTTTTGAGACAGGGTCTCCCTATAGCCCCAGCTGGACTGGAACTTGGTATGTAGATCAGGCTGGCTTTGAACTCACAGAGATCTGCCTGCCTCTGCCTCCTGAGTGCTGGAACTAAAGGTGTGTGCCACCACTCCTGGCAAAAGGACAAAATATTTTTTTAAAAATCTCTACAAAATATCTTTTATTTCAAAATTCAGAGGAGCATTTTTTTCCCTTGATACTTCTTTTCAGTCTGATCTCTAGTAAATCTAGTAAATGTCTAGTCTGATCTTTGTAAATGGCAGTGTAGATCATATGTTGAATCATTCAGTGTAAGTTCTAGCACCTTACAAATGGAGTTAAATACACGGTTCCTGCTTCCCCATCCTTTGCAGAGTCTGTTATGGCTCCCATGGCTCCTGTTCACTAGCTCTCTACCAGATCCACCACGAATTACTACATGGATTCTATTTTTAGTTCTTCAAATCCATTCCTTATTTGATATTTTCAAATTTTGACTTCCAGGTCATCAGTTCAACATCTAAATGATTTGCAGTCTTTGGAATTCTCATTTAGAAGTGGTCAGGTCTATCAACAACCAATGTCTTTACTTATCTCTGCTTCATACAGCCTTGAAACAGCTGGTGGACTTTCCATTCATACACTTATTCTTACCCCAACTGCCTTTAACCTTTTGCTAACATTTGAACACGTGTGACTAAGGGAACTTGAGAAGTAATAACCTGAGTCTTTGTAACATGACAGATTTACAATATTTCTCTTAAAGTTATGTTTGAAGTGATCAAAGTAATGGTTTCCCTGTGGCATTTTCATACATATGTGTCATTCTACTTTGTTCTGGTGATTCCCTTCCTTTCTGCAAATAGTCCTCCCTCTGGTTTCATGTCACATGCATTCCATTACCCTCTCCCCTACCTACCTCCTTTAAGCTCTCTTCTTCCCTTCTCACGATCCTCTTTGGTTTCATGACCTACTTATGCACACACACATTTATATATACACACGTACCACACACACACACACACACACACACACACACACATAATTTTAAATGTAGGGGCTGGGGAGAAGGCTCAGCAGTTAAGAGCACTGGATGCTTTTGCAGAGGACCTGGGTTCGACTCCCAGCACCCACATGGTGGCTAACAACCATCCATAACTCCAGTTCCAGGGGATCCGATGCCCTCTTCTGACCTCCATGGGCATTGCATGGCACGAGTGCATGTACACACAGGCAATATACACTCATACAAACAAAATAAAAATAATAAATAAAAAATATATTAAAAAAAATCTAGGTTCAGCATATGAGAGAAATCATGTGATTTTTGCCTTCTGAGTCTGGCTCCAGTAGGGCTACAAAAATAAGTGACTTTTGTCTTTGCATTGCTTATTTCTTCTTGAAAACTAGTTTCAGCCTTTGTGAAATATAAGCATGTGTTTCAAGTTGAGGTTTTTAAGGTGTTTTTTTTTTTTTTTTTTTTTCTCAGAAAGGATCCTTCTGCCATGTTTGAATTGCCAAGGGAGCAGACGTTTGAGGACAGGGATCATTTTGTACCCTGACCTCTGTTCTTGCTGCCTGCCTTTTCTGACCTCCAGACCAGCCCATTTGCCTTCACAGGGAGAGGCTGCCTGGCAATGCAGCTCAGCAATGTCTGATACTTAAGTTATAGCCACTAGTCTGGTATAGCCTGATATAACCTGGTATAGTGTGGACATTGGCAGACCCAGAATCTCTCTGGGCAGGAACAATGCTCAGTTTCAGCTCTGAATTGATGTACCACTTCTTTTTGTCCTTATTGATGAAAGCCCAGGTTCCTCCATGGTCCTGGGCCTTGCAGCTCTGGCTCCTGGCTCTCCTCTCCTCTCCTCTCTTCCTGGGCTTCCATCCTTCTCTCTGCTTTGGTTATCATCTTCCTGTGGACCTGGGGACATCTCAAGCTCCCCTTGCCTGAGGTATCCAATCCTGTGGTCCCTAGGATTTCTCCATCTCTTCATCTAGTTATTAGCCTGGATACCATTTTCCCCAAGAAGTCCCTGCTCCTACTCAAGTGCTTTCTCTTACCTGCCCTCTTTATCTCTTTCTTGGCCATTGGTTCTGTTGAAGCTACATGCATATCTATACATTACAGTTCCTCTTCCAGAAGTAGAATCTAAGCTCCATGAATGCAGGAACATTATCTCTCTTATTTCCTATGGTGCCACTATATTACTTTGTCCCAGGAGAGTGACTTACATGCAGCAGATGTTAAGAAAATACTTGTTGCATGAATTAAGGAATGTATTATTAACCCTCCTGAAATCCTCTCTTCTCTCAGGAAATAAGAAAGTGGAAAGATAGGACTTTGGTAGTGCAGGAAATAAGACCAACAACTGACAAATTGAATCTCATGAGACCAAAAAACTTCTCTTCGATAAAGGAAACTGTCACCGGAGCAAAGAGGCAGCCCACAGCACAGGAACAAAATCTTTGTCAGCTATAAATCTGACAGATGATTAATGCCTCAAATATATAAAGAACTAAAAAAGCTAAACATCAAGCATACAAACAATACAATTTTAAAATATTTTATTTATTATTTCCATGTTATGTGTATGAGTGTATCTGTGTCATGTCATGCACATGGAGATCAGAAGAGGGCATCAGATTCCTTGGAACTAGAGTTATGGGTGGTTGTTAGCTGCATGTGGTGCTCAGAGTCAAACCTGGGTCTTCTATAAGAGCAGTCAGTGCTCTTAACAGCTGAGCCATCTCTCCAGTCTCAGCAATCTAATTTTAAAAAGTGACTATGGAGCTTAACAGAGCCTTCTTTAAAGAAGAAATACAGATGGCTAATACATATCCACCCCCAAAGTGTCCAACATTCTTAGCTATCAAGGAAATGCAACTAACACCACTTTATGATCCCATCTTCTTCCAGTTAGAATGGCGACCGTCAAGAACATAAAAGAGAACAGATGCTGGCTTCGATTTGGGGAAAGCAGAACTCTTACACACTGCTGGTGGGAGTGTAAACTAGTACAGCTACTTAGAAATCATCTGGAAGTTTCTCAAAAAACTGGAATTAGAATTGCCATATGAACCAGTTCAACATGGAGATTTTCAGAGAAGAGATTTGGTAATGGCCCCACTGTCACCAAAATGAGGGCTTCATACTTTCTATTCATTACCTAGTTTTGCATGTCTTTTATCCTAACAAAGTCCTTTATATCGGATTAAAGTGATTTGGCAAAATCTTGTCCGTTATTTTCAGATTTCAGTATTTGTCTCATCTTTTAGTGGGCTGTACCTTGATATTAATGGTATATTAACAGTACACACACATATACATATATACATATATATGTGCGTGTACATACATATGTATACATACATATGCATAGATAGATAGATAGATAGATAGATGATAGATAGATAGATAGAGACAGTGTCTCATATAGCCTAGGCTCACTATGTCACAAGAATGACTTTGAACTTCTGATCTTCCTGCTTATACCTCCCAAGTGCTGGATTATGGGCATATATCACCATGTCCAGTTTTACGTGTTGCTGGGGATTGAACCTAGTGCATGCTAGGAAAGCGCTTTACCAACTGATCAACATCCTCAGTCAGCAGTATGGATCTTAAGGGATCTAGAAACATCCAGCTCAATTTGGCTTCACTACAGCTCTGGGCATCACTACAGATAATGCTAATGTGATTGTGATTGCAGCCAACTTTGCTGTGACTCACTAGTGAAGGCACCTGCTGTGGTGCAGTTTGGCTTACTGACCAGGAAACAAGCTTGCTGGTGCAGCGGCAGGGAACAACACAAATGCATCTTCCTCCTCGGCTTCTTGCCTCATTTATTGGGAATGAAAAACAAAGGCTTCCTGGCTAGTCATGCATCCGAAGGTCATTTTTAGAGGAATCAAAGTGGAAGGATCTTCACCAGTGAGTTTGAGTTCCACCCTGAGAGCCAATGTGTCTCACACTGTGAGAACAGGGCTCTCTATAATAAACAGACATTCTGTCCACAGAAAGGAGTGCTTTGCCAGCTGGCTCTGGCTTGCTTAGCAATGTAGGGCATATTGATGTTTGAGCAGTCCCTTGTCCCCCAGTGTTTAATTAGGACAATGGTGACCTTTCTTTGATGCAAGGGATCCCATTCATTCACGGGTATATCTTCATAGAGTGTTCATGTGCGGTGGGGTAAGGGAAACACCAGGACTGCAGATGCTACAGATGGAAGGATCTGCAAACACACTCTGCCAAACTGAAGAGAAAGCTGCTTCCTTGCCTTGGTTGTACCAGGCTAACCACTCTGTGTAACACCTTGTGACACCCTAGGACAAGGATTGAAAGTCAAATACAGTCAAGTCTCACATGTTTGTATTAACAGACGCCAAGGAGTTGGGATATCTGAAACCTAAAAGCCATTTTGAAAATTTCTCTTAGTTACTGGACTAAGCTCACCTATGGAGCAACCTGCATTTTCCAGCATTTGATAGTTGTTTCACTATCTAAACCTGGAAAACCTCTAATCCTTCTCCTATGACCAAGCCTTTGTTTCTCTGGCTCACCAAGGGCAGAACTTCAATTGTTTCTTGGGCCCCCATGTGATGAGGACAGGAGATGAGGAAGAGTGTGACATTACTGTGGTGTAGTAAGCCTTGCATTGTGTACTCTGGCGCTGGTGTCGTTGCTGGTCTCCTTACATGCAGAAGACACAGGTTCTAGCCCCAAATCCCAATTACACATTTCATGTTCAGCATGATGCCTGTGCAGGCTAAGGACATAGTTCAACAGTGATTCATGTTCTCGTGATCATTATTGGCTATGTGGCTTTGGACAAGTCAGGGAACCTCTCTGAGTTCCAGTTCTGTAGTAGAAAATAGGAAAGACATTTGTGAAAGTGCTTTTAATGTGTGTGCTGTTCAAAATGTCTCTACACAATACAAATGAATTTCAGGAAAAGACCAGACAACAATTTCCCTTTCCTTGCTTCATTTTTTTTGTGTATGTCTGCATGCATGTATATTCACATGTGTATGGGCTCACATGTGTGTATGTGCACAGGTGTGAATGTGTGCATGGAGATCAGAGGTTGATGTCTGGGTGTCTTCCTCAAAGGCTTCTACTTTATTTACTGAGGCATGGTGGTCTCATGCTGAATCCAGAACTCACCCATTCTGCTGCTTTAACTCTTCCCTCCAGGATCTGCTGCTTTAACTCTTCCCTCCAGGATCCCCTGTCTGTATCTCCCTCAACTTTTATCTGGGTGCTGGAGTCCTAAATTCTGGTCCTCACACTTGCATAGCAAGCCCTTTATCCACTCAACCATCTTCCCAGCCCTCCTTCCTTCATTTTCTTTTGAAAATAGTGATCCTGTAGATCAAATAAAAATCCCATCTAAACTGTAGAAATTCAACGGACAGCTTGGTAGCTGTGTAGATGGAGGTGATTGCTAGGGCTTTTGTTTCCTAATTGATCTAATGTGCTAAGTGAGTTTAATGTGGGCTAATTAACGATGCTATTGGTGGGTGGAATTAGCTAGGCAAAACCTAAAACAGCATCAAAGGGGCAAACAGGCAGGTGTCATCCAGGATAATTGAAGGAACAGAGGCCAGAGAAGGGCTGCTAAGGGTTGTGCACAGAGCTCCTGGGCAGGCCAGGAGAGGTGAGGGAAAACCAAGCCAGCCCAGGGCTGAGCCATTTAAGCAGCAAGGCTGAATGCCAAAATGCCATCCTGTTTACAGATCCTGTGTTTGAATTTCAGATTTGCTTGAGTCTTTGAAGCTAGGTTCATGGGCCTTTCCTTGAGAATGAATTCCATTCTTTTAAAACCACAAAACATACTCCCTTAGTCCCAGAAAGGAATGTCAGCTGACCTGGCTTCTGTATGTGGTCCCTTGGGACCTAAGAAACTTTTTTATTAGAAGATGCTCCTTAAAAGAATCAGCCTGGGTTTGTAGGGGGTAGGACCAGGTCTGTTTTCACTCTCTGAGCAAATGTAGGGTGCCCTCATAATGGCAATACTGAGCTGGGCATGAAGACAGATGTCTAAGAGAGAAGATACTGATACTGCTGAACTTCACGAACACGGATGCTCTTAACTCACGGTACCTCAAAAATGTTAGGTCGAAAACGCATGTAATGCGCTTAAGCAGTCACGTGTTGTGGCTGGGCAGCACAGCACGCCTTAGACTGTCAGTTGTTGCCCTTCCCATCTCTGTGCTGTGGCTGGCTTCCCATTGCTGGCCAGGATCCAGAGAGGATCCAACTGCATATCATTAGCCAGGGAAAGGATCAAAATTCAAAACATGGAGGGTAATTTCTATTGACTGATGAGCAATTTTACACTATCACAAAGTCAAAACATTGTGAACCACCATAGATTAAGGACTTTCTATATGTCTCTTTAGCTGCAAAACCCCAGAGTGGCCAAAGAATAGACATGAAATACTTCAGCAACATTCTGTTTAGTTTAATTTTCCTCCCAAGTTGTGACCTTCTAGGATTACCCTCTAACCATGCTGTCACAAAGGGACAGAGATGGCAGAGGTGCAGCACATACCCCACCATCATCTCCAGAGATGAAGGTGCATGTGGAAGTCATCGGGACATTTCCTAATGTTGATAACTCCCCCTCCTTTTTGTTTCTCTCTCAAATGTATTCTTAAAGGTTTTAAGCAACCATAACCTAAAATCACAGTTTCTGTCTTAGACATTTGGACTGCTCCTTTCCTCTTCCTCTACAGCCTTATGCCTCTTTGACACTTCGAACAAATTTCTGTTTCACTCTTGGTTTGAAAAACATCCCAAATGTCACTTTAGAGCAGCGGGGTAGTGACTCACTGAAGAGGCCGAAGAGGTGCTGGCTTTGCCATAACACACCCCCTCTCTCTTTCCACTGTCCATTTCAATCGTGCAGGGGACATGTGTCCCACGGCCTGTCCAGCACCCAGACTGATCAGGGCTTCCGTTCTGCAAATCTGTCCCCTCTCTTGTCCTAGATCCTCTTGTGATGTGGATCCAGAATAGCATAGCAGGGAGACATCAGCGGCAACCTCACCCGCTCTAGGATCTGCCCCAACATTACACATCTGGCCCTACAGGAGCCCCTGCTGCAGGTGCTGGGAATCCAAACCTGCCCTGTGCACCAGGCCCATCTATCCCAGGCTGCCGCGGCATCGAGAGAACCTCTTGGCTGGAAATGAAAACCTCAGTGTCACAAAGACCTATCCACTGCACTCCTTCCATCTCCTCCCCAAATACAGGACAATGGCATTGGATCGCACACTTGATTGGAACCCGGATCCCAGTGGTCTCTGCACAGTATCTTGGGTGGGAGGCAGGTAAAGAACCTGGTTGAAGTCCCAGATGAAACTTGCCCTAAGGAGCCAGGCTCAGGCGCGAGCTGGAGAAATATTTCTCATGCTCCCTGAGACACGTGCTGTTTTAGTAGCCCAAATATTACAGTCTGCAGCACAGTCTGGCACTCTAACAACCAAAGTAAAGCCAACAGCAGAGTGGGGTTTTTTAATGTTTTCTCCAAAACAAAGGAACAATCTCAGTTCTGAGAACTGGTAGCTCAGACACACAGTAATCAGTGAAGCCTGTTCAAACGCAACCCAAAAATGACATGCATTTCAAAAATGTACCCAGACTCCTTCCTAGCCAATGACACTTCGGTTTCGTCCACAGCTGAAGAATATATGGAACCAAAAATGAAGGACCAAGGCTTACCTGGTCCCTGAGTGAGGTCAGCGTCTCTCCCCGCAGAGGAGTCTCTGAAGGCAGGCAGGTAGCGTGCGCAGGGGGCCAGGTTTCACAGGTGGCTGCCGGCGTCCTCTCGCGCGTGTGCTTCACAACCCCGAGGCCAGTGACAGTGACCAGGCACACCTCTGCCGCCAGCTCCACTTTCCAATTTAAAGGGCTCCAGGAACTTTCTCTTGACTGCTCCCTGTCCAGTCTGCGATTTTAGAAACTGTCGCGTGGAGAGGTTTCCCATCCTGCAAACTCAGCTGCACCATCTAGAGGCGGCGCCAGGCACTGGAGAGGCTGGAGCCTGGGCACGTCAGCCCCGAGCTCTGCCGCCAGGACACCTGGCTCCCCAGAACTTCCTGCCCTTGAGGGTTCCTGCTGGAATGTGTAAAAAGCATTGATTCCCCCGCCCCCTTTTGGAGTGTATATGGGTCTTGCTTCTATCAAAACAACTGGGGCCTTTGGGCGCAAGGTGATATTTACATTAAAATATCATTAATCAGAACTTGCTTACAGGGCCCCCCACTAAGATGGCTACAGGCACGGATGCTGCTGTGCTCATTCATCTTCCTTCCAGCAGCCTAGAACACGTTTGTGCATATTCCTGCCCCTCCCCCAACTACCCCCTCATAGCTACCCCAGGTTTGAGTCACTTTCTTCCTCTCTGCTCCTTCACACCTTACTGACCACCATCGTATACCCCGTGTCCTTCCAGGTAACAATAGAGGCTCCATATAACTCCAGACCAATATATATGTGTATATACATATACATAATATACATATATACATACATATGTGTGTATGTATGTATGTATGTGTATATATATATATATATATATCCTATAATTACACATGCCCCATATAACTTCTGAAAAGTAAATACACCCTTGTCACTTCAGGGATGCATACATACCCCACATGGCTCTAGATGGCCATATATGCCCCTCACACCTCCAGGTAAGTATATATGCTTCAGATAACCATATATGCCCCCACAGGACCAGATAACCAGGAAACACTTGAAATGCATACTTTCTGTATGCATTTCTGTCCCTTCTCCCCCAACCCCCAGAACTGCTCCCTCAGATTAGACTTTCATGCACTTCCTTTCCATCCTGTTCCCTCTGCCTTGAATACACATGTTCATTCTTACACAGGAGAAAGTAAGGAGCCTAGGCAAGAAACAGAGACTATCTTGTGGGCACTCAGGCAGGGATCCTAAACTTACAGACTACTTCTAAGTGAAACAAAACACACTTACTTAGCTTTCTGACCAGTGCACATAGCTCATCTAGACAATGCAGGTGCCCAAATGAGAACTGTACCTTGAGATTTCAGGTTTGGTTGTCTACTGCCCAGGCTGAACCTACAGTGAGTTTGTGATAAATCAAAAATCACTGAAATCCAGTGTGGTGGTGAACACCTTTAATCCCAGCATTCAGGAGGCAGAGGCAAGTGGACCTCTGTGAGTTCAAGGTCAACATACAGCATTCCAGGCCACCTGGGGTCTACATAGGGAGACCTTGTATAAACAAGAAAACAACAACAAAACAACAACAAAACAAAAAAAACAAAGCAAAACAAGATTCACTGAAGTAGGAATGGGAACTTGGGGAAACAAATAGGAAATCCCCTAGGCTAGTCTTTACTGTGGCATATTGTTTTGACCCCCCCATGTTTTCAATATATATTTCTTACTGAAGTTTTGTGCATTTATACATCTTAATCATATTTTAGACCCCCTCCCTTATCTGCACGCCCCATGACCCCCATGTCCCCAGATTTCATGCATTCTGTCATATATGTCATATATGCCTATATTCTGTCATATATGCCTATGGAGTCAAGTTTGTGTACCCAGTTGTTCCTCTGTGTAAGTCCATCCACTGGAGCCTGGTCAGCTCTCTAGCATCATTTTGGCTTTTTGGCATAATTATAATTTATAAGTATGTTTGAGGGTGGGGATTTAATTTTAGCTGTGACTTTTGTTTTCTATTGGACATTAAATAACAATTTTAAATTAACCAAAGGGAGGTAGATGACATTGTCAAAAGATAGGAGAAGAGCGTGGTGGCGCACACCTGTAGTCCCAGCACTGGAGAGGCAGAGGCAGGCAGATCTCTGCGAGTTCAAGGCCAGCCTAGTGAGTTCCAGGACAGCTGGGGCTACAGGGAGACCCTGTCTCAAATAAACAAAACAATGCAAAACAAAAAAAAGATAGGAGAAGAGGAGAAATTGGAATATGCACCAAATGATGCATACTAGAAAGCAAACTGATGCTTTGGCGGGCCTGTAGCAGGTAAATGTGTGACATTTTCACAGTCATCATATCCAGATCAAAATGTGTATGCAAGTTAATTCAACTGATTAAGAGAAATAATGAAGCAAGAGAAGTTATTCCTTATCTGAATCATTTAAGAAACTGAAAATTCACTGGTTTTCTGTTTTGAATATTTCCTGAAAGATGAAGTAGAAACAATACAAAGTTATCAATAATATTTTTTCATAAGAACATGAGTCAAGATTGCAGACCATGGTTGGTCAAATGGGTGTCTTGGTATTGGGGAGAATGTGGTATAATTTAGAACATATCCTTGATACATAACTTAGCCCAGGCTGGCCTATACTCCTTTTCAACAGTGTGCAAATGACTGGAAACCTGTGGAGGGGCACACTGCTGGAAATGATTGCAGCACGCAGCTCCAGTGTGCCACAGCTTTACAAATGGCTTTTGGACATTCAGAGGACATGCCTGTAGAAAATACATCAGGTAGAGGGAATGATGATCTAGCAGATCAAATCAACTAGGGAGTAAAACTGAGCCATATTCAGGGCCTGGGAACTGGCTCAGTTGGTAAGGTGTTTGCCTTACATGCATGAGGACCTGAGTTCAGATCCCTAGACTCATATAAGAAGCTGGGTGCTGTAGTGTGTGTGTGTGTGTGTGTGTGTGTGTGTGTGTGTGTGTAATACCAGCACTGGGGAGGCAGAGACAAGCAGATCTATGGAGCTTGCTGGCCAGCCAGTCTAACCAAATCAGTGAGCTCCAGGTTCAGTAAGAGATCCTGTCTCAAAAAATAAGGTAAAGACTGACAAAGGAAGACACTCAGCTTTGATCTCTGGCCTTTATACACATGTGCACACACACACATGCTCATACACACACCCCCACACAGAGTTGAGTCACATTCTGATCACCATTATTTAAAATCTGTGTCAGAATTTCTAATCTCATACAAGGTAAACAGCAAAAAACCCCCTTGAAACCCACGAAACAACCTTCTTCTGTGCTACTGTGCTCATTGCTTCACTTAGCACATGCATGCCAAGCACATCACCTGCCTGACTTTCCCAGGGGTTACAACAGCACAGTGAGAGAGACAGCCAAAATGTCTGCCCTCAAGGCACTTACAATGGTTACCAAGAGTATCACATCAGTATAAAATACTGGTGGTGATAGGTGACAAAGGGGCAGAGGATGCCTGGGTTGTGTGGTATGTGGTATGTGCTCTGTGTATGTGTATGTGTGTGTGTGTGTGTGTGTGTGTGCAGATTTAGTCCACTGAGAACAGTGTTCTATTTAATTACTGTCTGAAAAAGAAACATCAACCAAATACAGCAAAACGAAGTTGCTGGTCTCTGACACTGATCTGGCTTTAACACACCTTAGCAAGTCAGCCTCTTGTTAACCATAAACAGGGTTCGTTTCATTCTTTCTAGAAACGCTTAAATCATGAGACAGTATATGAGGATTTGGTGAAATTTCTTTTTATTTTTATTTTATATGTATGAGTTTATTGCCTGCATGTGTTTAAGTGCAGAAGAGGGCATTGGATCCTCTGGAACTGAAGTTACAGATGGTTTGTTAGCCACCATGTGGGAGCTGGGAATTGAACCCAGGTCTTCTGCAAAAGTAGTCAGTGCTCTTAACCACTGAGCCATCTCTCCGGTTCCAGTGAACTTTCTTTATGTCCAGGGTGGGTGCTGGGGGGACACTCAGGACATTGTTCAGAACCAAGCAATCACAACTCTGTCTGGCACAGAATTTATTTACACTTTGTAATCTGTCCCCCAAATGGAACTGTTTCCTAGGGTATGCCTCTGCCCTGGAGGGATGAGGAAAGCAGGATCCTCATGACATGTTCTCTGTTCTTCTGCTCTCCTAAGAAGGTATCTTTGTCTATAGCTCTGTTCCTGGTACACGCATAGGCTCTGCCCTCCTGGGAGTTCCTTCCCATCATTATTGCAGTTCTCTTGGGGAAACAGAAAAAGAAGCACTATGAATTAAAGGATCTCTCAGTGCAAGGGCCTTGATTTGCAAGCAAGTGCCTGGAACACCAGAATGGGCTGGACGGTGGAGAGGAGATTGGCAAGAAGGAGAGATGGAGGCAGAGGGTACAGGAGGAACTGGGCTACTATTACTGACCAGGGTCAGCACTGAGGAGGAATGTTGCGACTTGAGAGATGGAAGGAGGGTACCTGGCAATATGTGTGTGTGTGTGTGTGTGTGTGTGTGTGTGTGTGTGTGTGTGTGTGTGTAGGGAGGGTTGTTTCAGGTTTCAGGTTGAACAAAGTTTGTACAAATGCCCTGTGTAGAAAGGGCTGTTTGTGCTCAGGAAACTGAGAGAAACTCTGTGGTCATAAGGTGGGGGCGGAGCTGAGGGTGAGGGGCTCCTCCCTGGAAGGGAGGTGGAGCTTGGGCTCCAGAGGGCACCAGACAAGGGGTTTGGATTTTCTTCAGAGTAAATCATAATTTGAAGATGATGGAAGCTTCTAGAAGTGGAACAGGCTTCTACCCCTAGCAAATGAGGACACAGAGAGGCTGTGTCTGGTGTATTTTTGCATCCTGGGCCTTTAGCTCGTAACCAGCCAGATCCAGGAAGATGAAAGACCAAGTGAATGTGAATACGCTCAGTGCAAAATCAGAGGGACAACTCCAGGTGAAGACAGAGTAAACTTGGCTTCCAAGTGACGATTTTAGAACGAGGTTCTGCACTTAGTTCTTTAAACTTTGTCATGACAACTTCTTGCTAAAGAAATAAAAGTCTGGCTTTTCCTTAGCAGCCTGCCTTGGCTCAGGCTGTTGTAACAAAAATACTCTAGGCTGTGGTTTAAAGAGCAAGTGTTTCTTTCTCACATTTCTGGAAGCTAGGAAAGCTGAAGTCAAGGTTCCTAGCA